GGGCCGCTAGGACAACGGCAGAGCTTTGGAACATCATCTTTGCCTGTGATCAGCGAAGATGACTCTGAGCAAGTTGGCTGAGGTACACAAGAGAGAAAACCTTCCGAAAAAGAGGAACACACCCCCTCTTCAAGAGGAACTCTTCTCCTTACCCCTCGCTAGAGTCATTTTGTGGCAATGATGTCAAATGGAAGCCTCCGATGTTGACTTCGGAGTCGCGCTACCCCACACCGAAATTTCCGGTATCGCTAGCGGTGAAGATAACGGATACGCCAAGAACCGTCATTCTGCGTGGTAAACACACACAAATGACAATGATAAGTGAACGACTGACAAGGATCATCTTGTCTCCCTGGAAATGACCCCATGGGCTTGCAGACGCAGTCCCTTGTTCCTGGGGAGGAAATGGTTAGAATTACCGCAACCCGACTCAATCGTTGATTGACTCGGATAAATAAGCGAGTAAAGTTACCCCATTGAAGAACATTTCTGCAAGTCATGCTCCGATACACTCGGACTATGATTCCGCATGCACAATCTTCTAGGTGGAAGTTGTCTCTCAGCATGTCTTCGAAGCTGATTGGCTCTCAGCTGGACGTTACCCAGCTAATTCCTATTCTTTCATACACTTTTCTGAAAGCTTTTGCAATCCTGACCCATATTTTCGGGCAATATCTGGCCACGATCCAGTAAATGACAACTGGAGGGAGGTTATCAAGACTGTCACCACACCCTTTCCAAATGGGGGTTCGACCTGTGGAGTGGGAACACACTTTGATACTCAAGTTGCGAGATAAGTTAATTGATACACCCATCCTCGATCACCCATCCTCGATCACCGCTTTAATCGCCTATGAGGACTGCCGGACTACCTCGTGTTCTTTCCAAATTCCGATCCTCTTCGTCCCCAAGTCAAATATCCCCTCTGAGAAATGTAGGCGTACAATTCGAAATAGGTAGCACGTGATACTGCGTTGGTTGAATCTAGTATTGTCTTTCAAGGAAATATGATCGCGTTGCAGCTTGCTGGCTCACTCCCTGGATATCGTCTCTCTACTCTCACTCCACACCATAGTCTTACCCGGGGCCGCCTCAAAGTCGTTTCTAGTCGTGTTGAAGTCCTGCAATGAGTGATAGGAGTCATTCTTGGCTTGGCAGCCCTGACAAAACATAGCCTCTGTGTTTCCTTTCGATACCAGCCCATCAGCGGTCCAAGTCAGTATTTTCCAAGCTGCTTGGAGAAAAACAAGATTCGCAAGCAGAATTGAAAACAACATAACACCACCGTTCTTCTGTTGAGGAACAGAACAAAGATATGAACTGACAACGGTAGCGTTTTTACAGCTCAGGGGCCCCATCTTTCCCAAGTCTTGAATTTTGTTGTAGCTCTCCGAAAGCATAACTTTACCTTCTACCTTGTCATCAATAGATGTGGGAAGTGGGATCATGTTGTAACGATCCCCTCCAGTTGGTGACCTCGAGCCGTTCAAAAACTGCCCCGAATCCCGGTTGTGATCGTCTGGCGCCAAAATTGCATATTGAAGCCCACGATCATCGAGAAGGAGATTCGGCGCCTGGCAGTTACCGAGATCCAAGGAAAGCAGAGAAAATAAAATCTTTGCGCAATGGAGCCCTTCTGTCAATGCTGGAGATCCGTACCACTACATCCAGTCAATGCTAACGTTAACTAATGTGTCTTCTATCGACGGGCGTAGTGTGTAAATGCAATATCATATGAGTAATGGAAGGACATACATCAGAATTATAATCTTGCTGGTCTCCGTCCATGTTGCTGTCAAGAACCTTGGAATCTGAGTGTCCGATCGACCAGTAAAGACCGAAGAAGTCGTTGGTGTATATACTGAATCGAAAAGTGAGCAACTGCTAGTCTGATAGATGAGCCGGCGTGACCTACTCCTGTATCCTTGTTTCAGGGGTGTAAGAGAAATTGCCACTAATGGCATAGGTCTCGGTGTCAAATATGTTCGTCATGTTTGCGGCGGCGGTCATTACGCCGCTCCAGTATGCGTTGAGCAGTCTGGTCCCCCACCAAACGCTCGCACGCTTCTCGTAGTCGTCTTCGATTACATAGCTATAGTCATGGGGTCCTTCACCAGTTACATCCTCGGTAACGAGCGTTATGGTCACGCGGCCACTCTCTGTCACAACCGTGCAGTCCACAGTGGCCTGCATTGTAGATTCTCTCCAGGAATACCACCATGAAGGAGATGGCGGCACGGCAGTGTCACTCTTCTTCATCTTCAGCACTATTCTATTAGGCGAGCAGTGTTGGAGAGTGTTATTCTTGTAATTCAAGGTGGAGAGTGAACTTGGTGTTGAATCTGTGATGGCTTTGATAACATATCTAAAGCCCAGGTTGGAGGTGAAAAACGAATCGCCAATTGTGAGCAGGCGTGGCTGGCACTCTGCCTGTACGTCGCTCCTCCAATTGAACGGGGTCTTTCTGAACCATCTCGGACCGCAATCTTAGCACGAAAATGATGGATCAATGTGGCATCGTAGACTTACCGTGCGTTTGATAAGGCTTCGGTGCCATTGGGATCGGATGTATATAGTGGCTTCAATAAATAGCCGTTTGCGCTCAGATTAATGAGTGAAAGCAAGACAGTGAGAACAATGCCGCCAACCAGAGCGACGGGTGTGAACCAGCGGAAGGGATATGGCTTGGAGATTGGGTACGAGAACCACGACCGATACATCTTGTCGCTCGGGCGCCGATGGCTTCGATGGCCTTCAAGTTCCTCGGGTGATAGATGTTGGTCCTAGGGCAGGAGATGATGTGTTTGGTCGGGATGGCGTATGGTGTTTGGCTTACCTTCAGCAGTCAACCATCAATTTGCGGCTATGTATTTCAAGTGGGCAGCTGACTTCTTATATGCTGCGACTTGCCATGTGTCACGAGTCCTCTGCAGCTGGGGGATGTGCAGATTGGTCAACTAAATCCATTATCCATGCCACAGAGACACATTGCTTCTATTGAGTTTGCTGCCTGCAACGATGGACGAACCACGCGTGCAATGACCGCCGTCCTCACCAATGAAAAGAATCAGTGATAGTACTCAAGGTTGGCAAATTCCCAGAATTGGTTCAGCCTGCCTAAGGTAGGATTGTGAATCCCTGGGATCAGAATGCCTGCTAATGTCGTCTTACCTGCGTTTTGCAGCTTGTTGGCCAATGCCAATGTGCCACACAGGGGGTACTGGGCTTACTTAAATTCACAGTTCAGCCGAGCTGCGAATCAATGGCATGCATTCGGGTGCCGTTGGCGAAGAAAGCCTTGCCTGGGGTTCTTGACCCAATTGAATTCTTTCCGGACCTCCTGGTCGCTGACCTTATCCTGCATACGAAGGCACGGAGGATATTCCTTAGCAGTAGCAATGCCAACATAGTCTGCCTGGTGGTCAACATATTCATCCCGCATGAGGCGTTGACGTGCAAGCCGATAGGCTTAGGAGGCCACAGGTTTGTAAAACATTTGTCAATTTCTTGGCCTAGGCGATTCCATTTGCCAGTCGCCACGAGTAGCACATGCAGTGAAAGGACTTTTCGGGGTATATTTATATTAACACTGCCTCGGTAGTAGACTCTATCAAGGGGCGCATTGGCAATTGCTTCAATCATCATTAGCCAGGTGAAATGATAAGTGCAAGAGCAAGACGTTAACTCACCAAACAGTTGGGGTCAACTGAGTACACTGCTTAAACTGGAGGTCAGGGTTGTTACACTACAGGAGCCACAGTCAGCTCATATGAATCTATGGACACACATTCCTTCTTTGGAAGGAATACTCACGACTAGTCTGTCGCGAACTCTGGGGCAGGGGTCAGCAGGCGCAGGAGGCGGCCTAGCCAACGCAGCACCGAAAGCTGCAAAGAAAACGAAGGCGGAGAGCTGCATTTTGGCGAAGTAATTGACAACAGTCGAGACTTGGAACTGAGTTATCCTGCCTACCTATAAGAAGTTGTGGAGTCTTGGCACGCTTTATATGGACGAGTTGACTTGCTGTGAGCGAGGCTATAAGGCCTGGTGAATGACTTAGCACAGCTTCGGCAAGCAATCCCGTGTCGGAGTCCCTCACAGCTCCGACGCAATATAGCAAACTTCGCTTCCTTCTAGTCTGAACTCTGTTTTGTTGAATTCAGTATACAAGTGCTTCGATACGGCGAACTTTTGCCGGCTTTAGCTCGGTGAATGACTCAAGGGTTCGTGACTGAACACGCCGAATTGCAACAACTTAACAACCAGGCCCCACTGCTCGCCAGTCAACGACGCGATACCGAACACTTTGAGTCTAAGGAGCTATCTAGATCCAAGATCTCTGCGATTTGTGTCCCGAATCCGTAAGTGATAAGCGTTGCCGCTGATCCGGCTGGCATAACATCTAGAACCTCCTGCCGCTTTGGATCTTAGGGGTATCTGGAATATAGGGGTGAGATGCATCCTAGACCTTGCAAGGGGTCAATACAGTTTAGGAATTTTCTTGTTGAAGCTATTTCCACAGGTCAGCAGTTTCCTAAAGCTAAACATAGCAATATAGTCGGTGCTGGTCAGCGGAACTTTGAATTCTCATTGAGCATTAGCCAACATAGCGGGTGCTGTATTTGAGATGAGGCGAGTTGAAGACATGATTGAGTCCGGTCAAGTCCGTCAAACAAGCGATCATGATTATCCCACTGGAACGTACTTAATTTGGGTTTGATCAGAAGATTTATTAAGGCCTAGTGGCCGGGTATCATAAAATCCCACCGGATCCTGCTACTCTACGGACTCAAGAAATCACTCCAGAGGGCCTGCCGGTAATTGATAGCCCAAAAATGTCCGTGTACAGAAACAATGTGGTTACCAGGTCGCAGGTCATGGTGCATGACTTTTGAGCCCGGCAGGTCCGGCTCTTCATAACGCCGTCGAAAGACCGGAGCTGAGCTGAGCTTCATCAATCTCAGCCAAGGCAGCACGCATCTCCAAGGACTTTCAGAATATCACCGGAGCCTCACAATAACTTCGAGGCAGCTGATCTTTCTCACACGACTCTCCTCCCCAAACCCCTCGTCCTCTTCCTCGAGCACAACATCATCGACCGTGCCCACGGTCTTTGTCCTCACCTCGACCTCGCAGTCGCTCTGCTCGGTGAACCACGCCGCGATACTGAGAGCCTTCTCAATGGCTCGGCCTGTTCCGAGCACAATGGCCTCTCCGTTTCCTCCTTTGGTGCCGTTGTCACGGTGAAGTAGGTCGATGCGCTGGTTCAGGTTCATGCCCCTCGTCGACGGCGCGTTGCCTTTGAGGGATTTGCCTAGTTGCTTACGGACGCGTGAGACTGTTGACATGAATGGCGTTGATGCGGACACGTAGATGAGTTGTGATTTTGATGAGTTGGGCTGTTGGCGGCGAGGCAGGGCGCGCTTTTGAATCCTGGAGCCTGGAATTTTGTTAGGCGAAGACTCATTCAACGGGGGGACTTAGTTTAGGGTGGCTGGCTTACCTTCAGGCAGCCGAGGCAACTTGGTCATAGTGGAAGACGACTGTCTTTTTGAGGGTGAATTGTCTTTGCCAGCCTGGCCTTGTGTTGTTGAACGAGTCGGCGCCATGTTAGGGTAGGCAGCTGCGTGAGTGTGAGTCTGAGACGTGAAATTCTTTCTGCCTTGTTGATCTTGCGGATCTTGATGGCGTGTGTGAGGTTTGGAATGGTCTAGCCAGATCAGAATGAGATGGAATGTGTACAAACAGAGAAGGTCTCTGATTTTGAGCTGTATGATTGTAAAATACGTCGGCCTGAATTATTCAATAAGCCATCGAAAAAGACGCTGAACCGTCCCCCGGAAGAGAAAAGTGCATGGAGTGGGTCCAGACCCCGTCTGCAGCGGCGGGGCATGCGCACCTTCCTCCGCTAAATCGGTTCGGCCCCCACTCAAGAAGGCACCGCGCACCGACCACCCTGGTCCAAAGCCTCCCGCCATGACGAGATCCCCTTCTGGAGCTTCAAACTGTCCACCATGAGCTAATCGATTAACACCAATCGCCCTGTTGCGGTTGCCTGCGAACCGTTTCACTAAGCAAGACGAATACCACGAGCTGTCGAACCGGAAGCGAGTCTTAGTCAACAGCATGTCGATAGCAATCTGGCCTCCGGTGACCCCAGAGGAGCTGATAAAAGGGAAACAGGAATGCCTCGTATGTACCCGCCGTCTCTGCTTGCCCCGCGCCGAATACCAGATCGTTGGATCCCAATCTCGAAGTACACAATGCTAATCCGATTTCACCAACTCTCACAGGCCCGCGAGCTAGAATGGATCGTCGTAGAAACACATGCGATCCTCAAGGACATCCGCCACGGCCTGCAGGACTGCTATGCTCTCCTGGCGCCCATCGACCCGGGAAGCACTCTCGTCATGAGCACGCAGCGTAACGAGCGCGTAAAGGGGACAGTGACCCGGGTCGGCACGCGAATAATCAAAGGCGTAAGTTTATTCTTTGCCGACTACCTCCCGTCCCTAGGACGACTTCGAACCTGCGGCTAACACCTCCAAGACAATTCACCTCCAGCTCAAGACCCTCCCAACGCAAACCCTGAACCTCGACGCCTCGCACCCAGTCCACATCGCGGCTCTCGAAACGATCCACACCCACCTAACAGAATGCCTCGACCTCCTCTCCCTAACAGATACGCCGAGCCCTTCCAATAACCCATCCCAGCTCGCCGCCCAGCTGCGCATCATCGCCGCCTCCCTCAACGAGTCCTCTTCTCTCCTCAAGGGCCCGGCTCTGAACGAAATCGACCATAGTTGGCAGACCGACTCCTGTCCGCCCGTCCACTTCACCCCATCCCTTGGGCCAAATATCAGCGTCCACCTGGGTCTTCAGGAATCGAGCTTGGTGCTCTGGCTGCGCGCCCTCGAACCCGTCGATTCGCCGGTACACTTTGGGACCAAGCTCGGGCTCGCACTAGGGACGGTCCGAAGACTGGAACACGACGAGATGGACCGCCCTTTCCGGTTCACGTATAGCACTGTAACCGATGGCGGGCTGAAGCATAGGCATGGCACGGCGCATCCGAGGAGTAGTGGGAGCAGCCCCAGCGGGCTGGGTACGCCCTCCAGTAACGGAGAAGCTACGGAGGTCTTCGTCAGGGAAAAGGTGCGGGTTGAGAGCCTACCAGATCCCAATCTCATGTCTCTGTCTGCCAAGTTGGTTGCCTTGGGCCACACGCTGGCCAGCGCTAGGAGGAACCTGGCAGCTGTCATGGGTGAGGAGTTTGACGAGTGAAACAATCTGTAAATGTAGTTCTTCTATACCCCGGAGTTTGGCAGGAAAGTGAAGTTGGCATGTCTTTGGCAAGGTTACTGTTTTCAAATTCCTATGTGCTGGTCTTGTTTATCAGAATTCTGTACACATACAAGTCGCCAAATGGAAACCTTATTCCATGATCAAACCAAGCCATCTGTCTTCCTGATGTTGGAAAACCTAATCCATGAAAGCAATCCATCCCAAGTTGCCTTCGTTGGCCTCACACACGCTGGACCAGTATGATTCCTCATGTTGGTCAGCGTACCCAGTGTGTTGACCTCGTAGACATCGACAAATGAAAGCTGATATGGGCGATATGTAGAAGCATGCGATGCGACGCATAGCAGTAACGCGGCGGAGCCAAGTAAGAGTCCAAAAACCCCCCACGATTACGCCACAGGAGACCAGGGCATCGGGATCAAGATTCTCGACTTCATGCTCTGAATAAGAGGCACAGTCTTGTGGACAGTCTCGCTCCAGCCCTCGACACTCCAGCTCTTCTCGCGGCGAATCTTTCGCTCCTCGAGGTTGGCAAACTGCCACAAGTGGTGAACGGTGTTGAGGTCTCCTATCTGCACGAACCAAGCGCCGACACCCTCCATGACCTCGCGTCTCGCCTTGAGGCCGCGTCTCCAGTGGGTCTCCCACTCAAGGAGGTTGCCGGGGTGGAGAGTGTATGATCGCAGCTCGAAGATGCCGCCAAGCTGGCGGGGAGGCGTGGTGGGCCAGAAGGAGAACTCCTGCATCAGAGATGTCTTCTTCGAGGTGATGAGGCTCTTAAGCTTCTTATCGAACTCGGCGAACTCGGGGTGGGAGCCAATGTTGTGGATTGACTCGTGGTATCCCTGGTAGCGCTGGTACTCCCAAATATGGACTGTGAACCTAATATTAGCATCATGTGGTTTCGCTTCAGCATGGGGTGGTTTTTCTCGGCAAAGGTAACATACCAAACGTATCACAGTCTCCAACTTCGGTTCTCCAGCTTCCAACTAGATGGACCTTATTCTCGGGCATGGAAGCCATGCGCGGGTACCAGCTGCCAACAAGCTTGGTGTACTCCTCCACCTTGTCGGGCTTGACCTCGTGCTGGACGATCGAATGGACGTACTTGCCTCGGGCAAGGACCTGACTGAAGCTCGCCTCAAGCTGAGCATCGAGCTCGCGACCCTCCTTGGTGCCGTAGATGAGGTTGGTCAAGGGGCCGGCCTTGCGCGAAGGCTCCTGGGTGGCCTCGGCCTTCTGTCCTGAAGTAGCACTCACGGATGAGTCCTGGGCGGGCTCAGAGGAAGAGGCAGGGGAGGAGGAGGATTGAGTATACGCACTTGCTTCCCGCTGTTTCTGCTGCTCGACCAACTGCTCTCGGAATTGCTTCGATTTGTCGTTGAAGGAGGCGACGCTCTTGGGCGCGGCGCTGACGTCGGCCATGGAGGGCACCTTGAGCTGCTGGCTCGTGGAGCTGAATGCTCGCAGCGCGGAACGCGGGGTCACCGCGCCGGCTGCTCGCACCAATCGCTGGCTCAGCATCTTTGCCTTTGGTGGTTTTGGGGCGGGGATTGGGCAAAGAGAGGATGTTTTGGAGAAGGTAGGTGAGATGAGGAGGTGTATGGTGACCAAGAGGTGTCGTTTCTTCTTCTGCTTGAGCCAAGGGACGTTTTGTCTACTCAAACAAAGGTGACAAAACGTGCTCTTTGTTCAGCAAGAACAAGCCTCTGGTACGGGATGTGGAGGAGGAAGGAGAGCGAATTCGATACGTCTCGATCGGCAAGAAGCAGGAAGCACCCGAGAGCAGGGATTTATCACAGGACGGGAAGCAAGTCGGCGTGCAGAAAGGGCGTTTGGAGGCGGCGGCGGCGGACGGACGGTTACCGTAGGTTGGTACGCTGGTTTGTGGTGGTAGTAGCAACCTATGCAAAGGTAGCGGTTAGGTGTCAAGGTGGTGGTGGTGGTCTCGCCCGTGCTTGAAATGGCAGTCTAGGCAAATGGGATGAATATAATTGGATGAGTTGAGGAGGAGGTCGGGCTATAACCGTGCAATAATGGTGTGTGTCTCTCTTTCTCTGCAGATTCCCCCGCACTTTCTGGTAAGGTGAAGGCAGTAGGTAGTACGTAGTAGAGGAGGGAAAGGAGAGAGAGAGCTTCAGGAGGTGTATGTGTGTGGCAGGGACAAGATGAATGTGACACAAGGGAGGAGATGTTTGGCTTGCTACACTACGAGTTCGGGGTCTGGCACCACCACCACGCCAATCCCTAGGTCCCAAGTCCAACTCAGCCCCCAGAACCTGGGGAAAGCTGTCACCGCGGCCTGCCACGGCACGGGGGAACGGGTTGCGGGTGAGCGAACCTGGAAGCTGAAGCTTGCTAAGGTCACGGGTGGGCACGTATCGCCTCCAAATGCGCCCAGATGCGGAGAAGCGTCGAATGATGTCACATGAGAGCCGGGGGTAGAAGGGGGTGGATCCGACCTTGAGGACATGTTCGGACAAACGTTACTGCGGTGACCCGACCCGGCTGTTTTCCCGGTACGACCTGGAATTACTGGCCCGTGCCCGGAAAAGACCAGAAACGGACAATGGTCCACTATTTCTCGTCTGTCGCGGCTATGGCCTCAGGCCACACGTTGCTCGGCTACGGGTCCAGCCGCCGAAACCGAAAGCTCAATCGGAGGAAAAAGGCTCGTTTTGATAGCTTCACATCGAACTTCCGAATACCGCCCGCCATCTAGACTCCTCCAATTTCCCCCCTGCAACCCATATCACAACCGTCAAGATGACCTGGCTCGGAGCTCGCGCACTCAAGAAGTACCCCACGCCCGTCCGTACGTATTCCTCCAAGACCGTCCCTACGGACTCGTCGCGCAATCGCTGACCTCCCTTACAGTTAAGCCGATGGCGCCTTTCTTCGCTGCCGGTATGTCCGAATCCCTCGATTAACACTGAACCCCGTGAGCAAAACAGCTCCAACGAAAGCGAGAGAACGAAGAATAGCGACATGAAGCGCAGCATGTGCTGATAACCCCGCAGGTCTGGTCATTGCCTACGGCATCAACTCTGCCCAGAACGCCATGATGAAGTGTACGTCGCGCAAACGAGGAACCCCCCGAAAGACCGCAGACTAATGCTAGATACAGCCGACGAGTGGAAGAACGACGCCCGCAACCCTCTCGCCAAGAAGCATTAAGTTCGCAATGGAGTAGTCCAGGCTGTGCGGGGAGAAGGCCGAGCAATGGGAAACGTGTCGAGGATATAGACCCGCCAACGCGTATTCTTTATGGACGCTGTATCATAGACGCACGGCTCGCATTCAATTGAGCTGTTGTACTAATGTACCGATGCCACACGTGCCATAATAATCGGGATCTGTGAGCGATCTATGCCCGTTGGGCGTGTGAATGCGTTAACGATGCCAATGCAATTGCACGGCGTTCCTTCTCTCTGCAATCAATTTGAAGGCGGCACCCGCTGGACCTCGTTGAGTGAGAGACGAATTTTCCACCTCGACAACCAAGAGGGGTGGTTGTCAACTCTAGAGTTGAGTCGCGGCATCATAAAACGAGGCTCGGACGGATGGCACACGTATCACGTGACAGCAAACAGTCCACAACTCAGCCATTAAAGATGAAAGAATAAATTAGCAGATCCCGTACTGTAATAGAATACTATAAAACTGGAATTGACCATATAAGCCTTCATCGGACTTCGAGGAGTGACACAATCGGTTATCGTGGCTCTAGTCCTTATCGCCGTCTCAATTCCTCTGCTTTTCGGCGAAGAGCCAACTGTGGATTTGTCAGTATCCACTTCACGTTGTCACTGAACACCTCGACTTCACAACACGCCCTTTGAACTACATCATAGATATACACACATGATAACTTCACTTCACTTACGTCTAAGAGCTGTTGTTTCTGTCTCTAGAGTTTCTCATTTTTCTGCCAAGAGCGGCAATAATACCCATTCATATTTCGGTCACATCTTCACCTGCAAAATGTCGACGACAACAAGCGCAGCCCCGAACGGCTCAGCGGCAAAGAAGCCCAACGGAAAGAAGGAGATCAAGATTCTCATGCTTCACGGTAAGATATGTGCCCTGTTCTTTGCACTCCTTATTGAACACCAGATTTGCCGCCCAGGGCCAACCTATGATCAATAATTCTTCATCCATAACCCCTCCTCAATCTCATCAAAACCTCACTAACACTCAAAGGCTACACCCAATCCGGGCCCCTCTTCCGCTCAAAAACTCGCGCACTGGAGAAACTCATCGCAAAGTCCTTGGGCCCCTTCAACCTCGTACCAACCCTCTTCTACCCAACCGGGCCCTCACAGCTCTCCCCGCGCGACATCCCAGGCTTCGTCCCGGACGAGTCCGCCAACGGCGAGGACCAGGAGATCGATGCCTGGGCCTGGTGGCGCAAGGACGAGTCCTCAGGCTCCTACCGCTTCCTAGATCAGGGCATCTCCACCGTCGCCGACGCAGTCCGCGAGGCCGGCGGCGTCGACGGCGTGGTGGGTTTCAGCCAGGGGGGTGCCTTTGCTGCGCTCCTGGCGGCGATTTTGGAGGGCCCGCATCGCGATGAGAAGATGCCGGAGGACCTGAAGGCTTCAGCGCAGGCGCTGAGGGAGGCCAACAGTGGTCGGCCATTCAAGTTTACAGGCATCTACTCTGGTTTCTTCGCGCCGCCCGCGGAGTTGCAGTGGGCGTATGAGCCAAAGATTAAGACGCCCACGCTGCATTTCCTTGGTAGCTTAGACACTGTGGTTGAGGAATCAAGGAGTCAGGGGCTCGTGGACCGTTGCGAGGATCCCATGGTCGTTGTCCACCCTGGTGGCCATTACGTGCCTATTACCAAGGAGTGGGCCATGCCGCTGATCGGCTTCCTCAAGAAGATTGCCGATGAAGAGGCCGCGAAGAGCAATATCTAGATATATCTCATACATCAAGTTACGAACGAATGAATCGGGTAGGGGTATAGAAAAGTACATCAAGGGCATTGGTTCATCATAGAATAGACCGAAGCATGCTTTACACATCCCAGCCTGGTTCATTGCCTTCGTCTAAGATAGTGTTCTACAATTACACGCCGTAACCCATGCCGAAGCCCCGGCAACCCATCCAGACGTCTAATGCGCCTTAGTAGACTTTCCCTTGCTCGACTTGGACGCTCCAGGCTGAATGTTGGCCATCATCTCCTCCTTGGTAATGAGATGATCGATGCGCTCGAGGTGGCCCAACAAGCTCTTCATGTTGGAGCTCCACTCGTTCAAGATGTCATCTGCATCTCTAGGCTTCGCGAAGCTCACAATACGCGCAGGGCGATCGATCTTGGCGTAGATAGTCTTGGAGGTGACCAGCTCGCTAATGTACTTCTCCGTCTCGTCCTCAGTGAGATCCAGCAGCTGAGTGAGGCGCTGGGTCTGGATGCGGGTGTAGTACTTGGCGACCACACGCACGTTGTGCTCAATGACTCTCTTGCGGAGATCCAACCAGCGCTGGTGCGCCTTCTCGTCATCCGACTGACCGGTTTGGGCGTCGAAGACATCAGTTTCGCACAGGTGAGGGCCAAAAGTCTTTGCAACCTCTGGCCAGCGCATGAGCTCGTGGACTGTGAAAAGCTTGAGAAGCTCGGCCTCCTGGGTGACTTGGCCAATTCTGGAGTCCTTCTGAATTCTGTGCAGCAGGTCGTGCTGCTCGTTGTCGTGAGGGGCAAGAATGACGAAGTAGATAATGCGTTGGAGGACCTGGGAATTGTTTGTAAGCAGTTGCACTTGTCATAATCGAGAGGGTTGATCTTACAGGGTGAAGCTTCTTGGGGTCTTCCTCGACGGCCTCGGTGTCGAGAACCTGGCGATAGTGCTTGCAGACGTCCAGGTACTTATCATCATGCTTCGCAAGGATGATCTGTTGCTCGTAGTACCGCAGCTTCAGGTCTGTTGTGTCATCCTCCTTCTCTTCGGGGACTTCCTCGCCTCTCGCCTTCTTCTTCTCACGCTCCTTCTTCTCCTTCTCCAGCTGCTCCGGGGTCTTCTTCGGCTTTCGCGACAGGTATCGGGTGCTGATCTTTCTGCTCAGGATCTGTGCCTGAGTCCAGTCGCCGACCTCAATGCAGAGTGCGACTTGTGCGAGAATGAATTCGGTCTTCTCTCTTCGGTCCATAGATCCGAAAGTCTCAACCTGAAGCTCGCAGAGGATGTCTGTCGCCGCCTTGAGGTCGCCCTGCTCCTTCTTGATATCGGACAGAGTCTTGGTCACGCGCGCGCGCTCGACCTCGACAAAGATCTTTCCCTCGGTGACCGTCCGCAATGTCTCGATAACGGTGAGCTTGGTTTCGAGATTCGGGGTAGAGTCGAGGAAGCCCATGACCGCCTGGACCATCTTCGTGATAGCTTGCTTGAGCTGTCCATGCTTCTTCGAGAGAATCAGGACCTGCTCATTCATCAAGCTCCAGTCTCCGGCATTCTTGGTGATGTTGACAATGGCGATGAGTATACGCGATGTCGATGCGAGATCTGAGGACTGCGCTCTGTTAGCAAGTCAGCGCCTGGGGAAGGGAGGGGTAGCTTGCTCACCTGGCGAGTCTGCTTCTCCAGGACGCTCAGCTTCTCGATGGCAGCTGAGATATCGCTCTATATAGATATCAGTATTCATTGCATGGCCACGTCAATCCCGGGCTGCAATCCGCACCTTTGCGAGCTTCTCTGCCTCCGGGATCTGCTTGTCCGTCTCCTTCGAGAAGTCCTTCTCGGGCTTCAAGGCTGCCTCCGACATGCTGGGCGATACTTCGGAATTGATCTGTGTTGGATGTAACGACGCGAGTTAAGGTCGGAATGGTGGACGCGGTGGATTGGCAGTCGAAAAGGCTGTCGGTTGGGAAGGTGAGGCTGATTTGGTTGTTTGTTAGAATCGAAGGCTCCCGCAGCTACGCAACATGCTCGTGCCTACCTGACCTCACCCTGGCCACCGCAGTGCTCAGGTACCCGGATTAGGTAAGGTGGGGCAGAGCTGGCACGGAGGGACGTACCTTTTCCCGGCCCTGCCTTCCCGCTTCCATCGATGGTCTGTGCGGACCGGCTTCCACTTACTGTGACTATCGGTATCCTTTCCTTTATCATGTTTACTCTTGCTCTGATGGTTGACAGATGGATAATATCCTTGCGACGAGGTACGTAATGTTTTAGAGTCAACCTTGAAACCGAAGGGACCGATGAGTTTGCTCTTCATGGACTCCATAGGATATGAGGAGGAAAATCGTGTGTCTAGATTACCTTACTGAGAGGCTGAACTAAATGTTGCCGCTTGATTACCAATTTACCCAACCTTGCTTTTACTTGTCCCTACCGTTAAGCATATTCTACGACATATTGATTATGCTTGTAGAAATTTACAGTCTGTCATCTCGACTAGCTAGGTTCTCCAACAAAAACCATACCATCGGCACTAATTTCCCGTTCTCTACTCCGTAATCTCGAACGGATTCGACCTGCGACTTTTTCAACAAAGCCGATGCAGCCTAACTTCACAATAATGATGACATGGTCACTCTCATGACCCCAAAGATTCTTCCATGTATGTTTCATCGGGTCAATTGCAGCGCGTGCGGGTGCCAAACTCGAGGTAAGTACTTCAGGCAGGTAAGGAAGCAAGTACGCGGGATCCGCGGGAAGTGCTCTTGCTCACAGTTCAACAGTCTATGTGGCCCAGTTTCCATGGTCGGGAACAAATTATGTAGTATTTAAAAAGGCATTATTTACCAAAAAGGGTCTATGCTATTGAAGGCGGAAACAACGTTTAGGGGTTGACAGGTGGAGGAGTGCTGTCAATGACAATTGTCGTAGGGTTGACCTGGTTGCAGAGCAAGTCTCCAAGGCCACCGGCGTGGCAGTATGTGAAAACATCACCCTCGCCCCAATAGCCGAAACTGTATGCCCTTGTCAGTTCTTCATCGTTCTCAAGTTTCATGATTGGAAGTAACTCACGCAAGGCCGAGCTCGTGGTAGATGCGCAGCGCAAACTCAGTCTCCTTGCCCGGACGGATCGTGAAGCGGTACTTGGATTCGCCGCAGGTAATCACATCCGAGGGAACACCGGTTGTACCCTGGCAGGCCAGATCCGTGGCGTTGTTGCCAGAGAGGAGGAAGCTGACGTTGGTGACTGTTCCATTTTGCTGCTTGCGGACGGAGAGGTCGGCGATGTCGATGTTCTCGTATGGGCGAGGCTCTTCCGTCTCTTGGGGTGCTGGGGCAGCGAGGGCAGCAACGCCGAATAGGCCAATGACGGTAGCGAGAGTGGACTTCATTTTGCAATATGAGGGCGGTCTTTGATCGTTTCTGGTGATGTTTGAAATAGTGTTGATAAGAGTAGAAGGTACAGTTTGGAAGAGGCTGCGCGGTGGTCAATTATATACTTGCGATGAGCTCCAGATACTGGGTCAGAAGATCATCATCGCCAAGTCGGTTTGGTCGGGCAAGCGAGGTTGGTGATTTCGACGTCACCGTCGCTTGGGAGGTAACCATTGTGTGGGGAATGCCTGTCCGGGAAATCCCAAAATGGCTGCGTTCTCGTAAAGGAAACTATGGCAGTGTTGGAAGCGGGTAAACACGAATGACTGGCAATTCTGTCTCACCCTCAACTGCTTCCCTCTTGAAAGGTTATGTCTCATGGGTAATGCCAGAAATAGCACATGAGATGAACTGTTCAATTCTCCACATCAATCATGAACTCTAATTTGACTGGGGCATCAAAATCATAACTTCCGTAAAGTTTTTATCTAGTGAAGGCCGGTATACTGGTATTTGGCTGGTAATACAGCGCAGATGTTGCTTCTACTGAAGATAGTGACGCTTACAGGGAGGCAAACAAGTCCGCAGGAGTGAGAGAGCGCTGAAAGTGAAAGCCTGGAATGCACGAAAGCTAAACCCCAACAGAGTCAGCAACGTTGTTTTGCTGCGTTGGTAGTCACATCGGGCAGTAAAAATGTGGACAAAACGACCGCCGATCTTCTCGTATTACCGCCAAGACCAATGCGGTGTCTCTTTGATGCGGTGACGACCGCAACAGGCGACTCCCCATTATAAAGTCCCCAGATTACCCGAAAGTTCCAGCTCCGGTGCTTCGTTCTTTTATGCCAGCTGCAAAACCCGTAATGTAAGTCCGGCTGACGTACCCTCTCAGAATGAATGACAATCGTTAAAATCTGAGAAACTATATTATTCACAACTTGTGCTTTACAATGACATCTGTTACACAAGACTATCATTGCAAGATCTTGTGCATCGCTAGTGTTACTGGACCTCCATCTGGGCTTCCCTTTGCTACCAAGTATGTGCCAAAGCTCAGACAGTTACCATCTTTATGAACACATGCCCAATTTCACCAAGATGAACTTGCACAGAGTCCTATCTTATTCTTCAAATTTACATCTCTTGAGTTTCCCTTATTCCTATTCAGCGGATCGTTTCCATGGAAAGTTCGATATTCACCAAGCTGTGTTGTTCGAACTTCAGTAAGCGTCCGAAATCCCTAGGATCTATGGAAGTGTTAGACTACGAGCTTCATCATCACTTCTGTAATTCCACTGCATCCGACTTTTCGAATGATCCCCTTCTGCGAGACTTCTGGCATCTGAATATCGTAAAAGTAAGACTTTAGCACTGGTACTTGATGCGAAGCGTCTTATCCTTCTCGGCTTCACATCTTGCGAGTATTTGCCTACAAAGAAGAAAGCTAATTATTACAAACGTCGGCTAAGAGATGGAATCTAAGGAAGATCAAGAACGATTGAATTCAGTGACTCAAATTTTGGCAACTCACGTCGGTCCCTAGCCGGTAAGTTCTCAGAACCACACTGGCCAGATGATAAATCGGCTGCAGGAGAAGGCTCCACCGAATACCACTAATACTGCAAACGACGAGCGTCGAGCTCGTCCACGAGTCCAAGACATAACAATACGAAAACCGACGCACCCTAGGGGTTGATAGACGAGATACTCGAGAATGGAGATCCCTTCTCAGGGAAACAAGAATAGCTACATGTAATCGCTTCCATTACAGTTCTATCTGAAATGATCAATTGTGCATACCTATGAAGTGGTCGGAGATCTTGCATGATGCTGGATTATCACGTCCTTACGGTATAATCTCCATGACTCCGTCAGGTTAACTTAACGGTGACGACACCCTTAGAAGGAACAAAGACGGATACCCCCGAGCCTAAGATGCTGGCCGCTGTGGAAGCGAACTTGTGATTGTTGTCAGTGACCCACGCGCTCGCAGCCTTGGGAGTGAACCCCTTGAATGAGACGCTGGCAGCCTTAGCAGCGCTGTCATTGTTTGTGAAGATGATGACGATAGACTCATCTTTGTTTTTGACTGCTGCAGTCAAGACGTCGGATGCCACCATGCCCGACGTCTGCAATCTTTGCGCGCTGGGTCGGATGTGCCGCGACCACATGACGAATGCCCAAAAGTTAGCCGACGGCGTCGCGGTCTTGCCATCCTGGGTATCGATGAGGTGGGAGTCAGACTGAAGCTGCTTGAGTTCGAAGCCCTCACAATAGAGGTAGGCTGAGAAGTTGGCATTGATGATGCCAATGGCAATCTTGTTTGCCCAGGTCATTCCCTCGGTGGCGCCTCCATTCTTATACCAGGTCAGGTCAAAGGCTGTCGTGATGCCGGATTCGGTAACCCAGGAAGACAGCTTAGTGTTGAGAGCGGTGTTGGCGTCGCCTGAGTAGGTGTGCGAGGTGATCAGGCCCAAGTAGGATTCCATACCAGCAGCAACGAGAGCGTTGGTGTATTTGACGGTTGAGCCCCAGCCGACAGCATCACAGCAAGTGACTGCGGTCTTGAGACCGGCAGATTGAACGGCCTTGGACAGAGTGGGGATGGAAGAGATGGCTTCCTGGGCATTGAAGCTGATTTGCATCTGGGAGTATCCAGGGCTGGGTGGCGTAGTAGTCAGTTTATTATCTAATTGTAAGGGAGATCCTGGTGCTTACGAGAAGTCGGGCTCGTTGAGGAAGCCTAGGTAGGTAACATTGAGTCCAGCTTGCTGGTAGTACTTGATATACTGCACGAGGAAGTCGGCGTAGGCTTGTCGCCAATCCTCAGAGGAGCAGGTATGGCCGGTTGTGCCGCATAAGTATCTAAAGCATGTTAGAGAGTGACTATTCAAGTGACTGCTTGCGTCCTAGCAACCTACCCCGCCGTCGCTTCGTTACCACTTGTCTTCATGAATCCAGGAGCACTCCAAGCGTCAACGTAGATTTGATTCACCCCATAGCTGACGGCTTGCTTCGTAAACCAGATCTGACCACTATCATCGTTGTCCCAGGTATAAGTCGGCTTGCCTGAAGGAGATCCAGGACTCGTGGGAAGAATGCTGTCTCCTTTGCCGCCGGAACCAATGCGATTGCGGATGATGCTGAACCCGGCACCTTTGGTAGGGCTGAAAAGCAGATCAAGAGCCTCCTTCTGAAGGGCCGTGGGAGCGTTCTGGAACTCCTTGGCACGCCCGAAAGCTTGAGAGAAGCCAAATCCGTCGATTCTTTGCAGCTTGGAGGTGGTGTCGACGGTAACCTGGCCAAGTGCCAAGGCGCCTAGGCTGACAACACCAAGTAAAGTTGTAAATGGTGACATCTGATCAGCCAATCATGAACGAAAAAGAGAGTGTGATGTTCGATATGGAAAGGATTGTGGGAGTGGGCTGCATCTGCGCGCCAAGAAAAATAACAGCTCCGGGAGTTTTGCGGATCTCATATACATGTGGCATTCAAGAAAGTACCGAATAACGCGGGAGTCTCGCATCCCATTTGGCATGATAGAAATCGTTCCGAAAGTCATTCTGATTGCTCGTCTCTCGAACATGTGAGCTTTGGTGCATGTTGGCCCGCCGGACCCAAAATTAAGGAGTCTTGATAACATATTCGATGTAATGCTGTGCTCATGTCATTGTTACCAAACTGCAGTGGTGCTCATCGGAGCATGGAGATAAAATAAATCGCTCCAATAGAAACATTGGTGACCTAGTCTCGGGAACGTCCGAACTGCTCGCATAGTAGCGAAGTTGGGGCTTCCCAGTCCCTCTTCGGTAAGTGACATAGAGTGGACATGAAACTCAGGGGCTAGGTGAATATGAAATATTCAATTACAAATTACGGTAGGGACTTTTCTGGCTGTGATTGCGCCTTTAAATCTTGCGTGAAAATCTGGAAAAGGCGTTATGAGGAAGCATAGAGGGCTTAATTCGTAACGACTGTACTGCAGTGGGTACGGTATCGTTGTCTGGAGATGGCTATAGCTCTGTTTGAAGGACTCCGCGGCATCACCACTTACTCACTTCGTTTCAAACATCGGGTCTCAAGACTGAGATGTTGCTGTGCGAAATGCTCTTTGATATCTCGTAAGCCAGTGGACCTAGAGACGACCATTCTGAATACAAAATATAGAAAAGGTTGAGTCTTCCGTCATTGGCCATTCCGTTCAACTCATACGCCTCATTCGTTCTTGTTTCCATTTCTCTTCACTCTTTTGGTCTATCCATTTCATACAACGCAATATCTTTTGTCACAATGAAGTTCTCTCCTGTTGTCTTGGCCGTTGCCCAGGTGGCATCCGCTCATTACTTCTTCGACACCGTGGTTCAAGATGGTGCCGCCGGAAAGTCTTTCCAGTACATCCGAGATTTCACCCGTGCCACCAAGTACAATCCGATCAAGTTCTCAAACAACCCGGCTGCTGATATTCGCGATGGTTCCTACATCGACGGCCCGGACAGCAGATGCGACCAGGGAGCTTTCACCAACGCCGCCAAGACGCAGGTCCTCGACGTCACTGCGGGAAGCGACGTTACAGTGAAGCTCGGCGTGGGCGCTACCATGCAGCACCCTGGTTAGAAAGCCCTGCCGCCGCGTGATTCACCTCCATGTTGAACGTTGACTAACATCTGCGTCCGATTACTATAGGACCTGCTCTGTATTACATGTCGAAAGCCCCCGATGGCAGCATCAAGTACTACGACGGCTCTGGCGACTGGTTCAAAATTGGCGAGACGGGCGTTTGCACCCAGAGTGGTGACTTCACCAAAGACGCTTGGTGCACTTGGGACAAGAACACTCTTACCGCCACCATTCCCAAGGATACGCCATCTGGCGAGTACCTCCTGCGCTTCGAGCACATTGGTAAGAATATTGGCTTTGTATTTGCAAACGTCGTTTGTATTCTGATAGTCTAACGAAATGACTTAGGCGTCCACAAGTCGTTCGACCACGAGCCTGAGCACTTCGTGTCTTGCGTCCAGGTCAAGGTCACAGGAGGCGGCAACGGGACTCCCGGCCCGCTGGTCAAGTTCCCTGGCGCCTACAAGTATACCGATCCTTACGTGAGCTTCAGCCTCTACAACGGATACAAGGCTTTCCCGATGCCTGGTCCTGCTGTGTGGACCGGCGGATCGAGCGATGTCAACAGCACCTCGGCAGCAGAGGCAACGGTCCCGAGCAGCTTGCCTTCGACGACCCTGATCACCGCGACTCGTTCTGCCACTCCCAGCGCAAAGGCTAGTGTCGCTTGCGCCAAGCTTCGTCACTGAAGGGCCCGATTATCGGCAATAAGAGGCATAGGATCTGCCTCTGGTATCACTCGCGTTGAAAAGGTGATGAAGTATGTCGGAATAAAGGCTTCTGCTATTTGTTGAAATGCTACTTTAGGCGTTGCCCGAGTCCTGTTTTCATTCTCCTGTACAATTTTAGAGACAAATTTTGAGTTGGCATAGCCAACTGACTATATAGTATCGCTTTGCTGTTGATAGTCTTTGTTCCATATGTACACTTTCGTAGGGACGTTGCGTACACCTTTACTCACTATATCCTCTAGCTCATCTGCATAGGTCATCTTTAGTATTCTGAAAACTAGCAACACCACTTGTATGTTTCTCTTCTGAAGTAAGCAGGGATCGTTTTTGTTATTTCTTGATCGGACCTGAAACTATCCTGACCTTTTATTGGCTGCCTTGAATCTAGAAAAGATAGCCTAGCAGGGTGACTTTCAGACCGCCTTCGCCTCATCAAATGACAAGATTATTGCAGAGGCACTGCTGAGTGCGGCTTGCATAGTAACCTCTTGCACTGTCACAAGTTCTCCAGTCATTGACGTTGGAATGTGGGGTTCTCCTCCCGGACCATCTCTGCAGCGTGGTGCTGAAGATGGGCCGACAAGGACGGCGTGCCATGAGAAATGTACTCCCAAAGTGTGTAGTATCAAGATAGCAGCCTCGCTCGCCTGAACCAAGCTGCTGTATGGAACAGCTGATGTCTTAAAAGCGACTGCCTATGTACGCTTACGTCGAATCTGTAGAGCGGTCTGGCATGTCTCGATACGGGAAAACAGCGTTATGGAACCGGCATTGCGCGGGCATGGATAACACATTGACTCTTCGAACACGGATGGTAATTTTGAACCGTAAAGAAGACGGATAGAGATGGGTTGTTTTGGTGATAGGCTGTAACCTATTCAGCTCTGGTTGTTCAAGTGCCGGGCGGGCTTCTTCACGTGCTCTTGACTGAGAGCAAGACTAGCTAACCTATCGCACATTAGGTAAAGTACGTGGGCGAGTTTCAAGAGGATATAAGCGATGGGCAGTCTACATATACTCTTCAGGTCGCCTCAATGCTGCTCTTGGCCTCGTAGAACTTAGAAGTGACATCCCTGTCGAAGGCATAGAGGATGACCAGGCGGTCAGCGACTCATGGATGTTGGAAAAGGGATGCCGAGGTGGGGGTCAAAGACGAGAACGGATAGGATCATGATGGCTACCAGGGAGGTGGGGAAAGCACCCTGAACGTCTGCCGCCGACCTGGATCTTGGTTATCCTTCATCCTCTTTGGGTCGTCATAGTTCATTCAATTGGTATGGAACGGAGTACTACTACTAAGGCTTGAATAGATGTATAGTTCGTGAGCCGAGCACATCCAACCATGTATGCGACTCTCAAGCTGACAGTACTGATTTCTGGGAACACGATAGAATTGGAGAGCTTACCATCCTCAGACGGCAAAAGAGAACTACCCCATGATCCCCGACGTGTGACCCCCACATAGTCCCGCAAACATCCCTGGCCCCAGGTGTCCAAGAAATCCCATATTCGTTCTGTCCTAACGCCGGATCTGATGCCGGAGAGCTGTAAGGTGGGGGTGGTCCGACGAGAAAGTCGACTGATGTTTGGGGGGTTCAGGGATGGCCAAGCAACAAGGAACAAAGGCATCGTTTGGATGCTGCCATGTTAGGCCCTACCCCATGGGGCGTTTCCCCGCGTTTGGACTGTTCTCCACGTTTGCCTCAGGATAGGGGGAAAGAGAAGGCAAGTAGATGATTGTGGGACGAGGAGAAGGAATGGGAGGCTGTTCCAAGGTTGACGCGTCCGGGGAAAAGTAGATTAAGTTCAGGACCCTTCCCGCGTCTTTTGACCGTCGCATGTTTGGCCTCTCATAGACAGGTCTTCTTGTCTTTCACCTCGCTGACTTTTCATTCCCATTCACAGTTTCACATCTTCGCCAAGGAATAAAGGGCTCTACTAAGTCTTGGACCGATACGAAGCCATGGATATGGACAAGACGGAGCGGTCTTCGGACCAGGTCGAGGATGTCAACGCCGATAAGTTAAGCCAACATGGCGGCAACCTCATCATGCCAGCCAGCTTAGCGGCCTTGAGCCAGGAAGAGTACGAGAGAGTCGGCAAGAAGGCAACATTGAAAATGGACTTGGTGATCATGCCCATCATGGTCATTATGTACATCCGTGAGTGCAGCCCGCGTATTCCAAACATCTTCTCGCAGAGGACACAACTAATATGATGAAAGTCAACTACCTCGACCGCCAAAACATTGCCAGCGCAAAGCTCGCCGATATCACCACGGACCTGAACCTGAGCCAAGTCGAGTACCAGACAACCGTCAGCATTCTTTTTGTTGGCTACAGTAAGAAGTTCCAACCCTTTCAATCGCAGAAACACTGCCGTATTAGACCCTGACTAACACGGAAGCTCTGCAGTCCTCATGCAAGTCCCTTCCAACATGATCGTCGGCAAGATCAAATGGCCCGGGGCGTACATCTGCTGTGGCATGGCAGCCTGGGGTGTTATCTCTTCCCTTATGGCCGTGGTGCACAACTACGAAGGCCTCCTGATGGCGCGGTTCTTCCTCGGCTTCGTTGAGGCCATCTTCTTCCCTGGCGCACTCTACTTCCTCTCCCTATTCTAGTAAGTCATCCTGTTCATAAGGTATGCTTTCTGTAGCTCGCAATGTTAATATGTGTCTATTCAGTAACCGGAAACAATTTGCTTTGCGGACTGCCATCCTCTATTCTGGTTCTCAGCTGGGCAATGCTTTCGGCGGCCTCTTCGCCATTGGCATCTTGACCTTGGATGGTGCACACGGACTTGCGGGTTGGCGTTGGGTATGTCCCTATTCTTCCGCTTCCATCTCAGTAGAGTCGTGAATATCTCGAGCTGACCATGACTGTCGCAGCTCTTCCTTGTCGAAGGTGTCATCACCGTCGGCCTGGCAATTCCATTCGCGTGCATCCTACCCAACTCCAACAAGAAGATACCCACTCTGACCCAGCTGGAGTGCGAGTGGGTACAGTACAATTTCGCCGCAGATCAGGGCCAGCAAGATGATTCGAGCGAGGTCACTGCTATGAAGGGCTTCATGATGGCAGTCACGGACCCAAAGACCTGGATGCTCATGGGCATCCTCTACTCCGTAAGTTGCACACCTCACTCTCATCTGTCGCCTTCGCGGCTCCTTTCGAGGGGATCAAGAGGAGCCTCTGCCACACCAATGACCATGAACAACTCTACTAACTCACCCGAACCATCAGACCTACATCGTCGGCGCCGTCGCAAACTTTTTCCCCTCCGTCGTCGGCGGCCTTGGCTTCTCCCGCACAATGACCTACGCCCTCACCGCGCCCCCCTTCCTCCTCTGCGTTATCACCATGCTTCTCAACGGCTTCCACTCAGACCGCAAGCAAGAACGCTTCCTCCACATCGTCGTCCCCCTATGCATCACCCTTGTCGCCAACATCATCGCCGTCTCAACAACCAACACGGCAGCACGCTACGTCGCCATGATGCTCCTCCCGGGTTCCTTCTACGCTGCCGCAGTGGTGGTGCTCTCGTGGATCACGGGCAGTCTGGCCCAGCCTTCGGTCAAGCGCGCGAGTGCTATTGCGCTGATCAACGCCATGTGCAATACACCGAATATTTGGGGCAGTTATCTGTACTATGGTGCGCCGAGATACGTTACGGCGTTTATTGTGAATATTGCGGCGACGGGTTTGGCGATTGGGTTTGCTACGGTGACGAGGATTTGGTTGAGGAGGTTGAATGCTAAGTTGAACCGGGGCGAAGACACTGGGAAGCATGGACCGACGCAGGCGCAGGTTGCTGGAGGGTTCAGATATCTCATTTGAGGCTTCTGGGGAACGGTATCATGTTCAGTCAATAGTCTCGTTGAGGGGTTTTGTCCGTTGTATTTTTTTACGTTGGAAGTCTGAATGGTGTCGATAATGCCTCAAACCTCTCTGGGCTTGGAAATTGAACATAGTCCGAGACAATTAGACTTGATATTGGTGCTCGTGAACTTGATCTCTGTACCAGCAACTGAATTGCCTGGTCCATTGCCCCTCGGTATGAAGAATGATTACCTAGCAAGCTGAGAGGTTACTTGGTATTTCTCACGTAGCAAGACTTCCCGCGATTCGCTGATCATCCACACATCACGAGCGTTGAGACGCTATTTAGGGTGGATAGACTCGATGGCAAAAAGGCTCCTTGTTACAGAGTGTTCTCAGATGACGCTGAGCCTTTGAAACAATCTACAACTTCACCCTTCCCGTAACTTCCTTTCCAGCCCGCTCGCTATTGACCATCTCAGGAACAATTTCTTCCACACTCGTGGCACCCGCGAGTGCCATATTAGTCTGCAGCTCATGCCTGAGAATCTGCACCAACCGTCTCACACCAGCCTCGCCATAGCCAGCCGTCATCGAGTACAAGAACGGCCGACCAATGCCAACAGCTGTGGCACCAAGAGCAACAGCTTTTAGGACATCCGTACCGCGTCTGATGCCACCGTCAACAAATACCTGGAACTTGGCTCTGGTTACTTGGGTTAGCAAGTGCGGCGCGTATCTACGAATCTCGAGGAGTGTGAGCATGGGCGCCTGTGCTGTGTCCTGAGACCTCCCTCCATGATTCGACAGCACGATGCCATCTACTCCGTGCTCGTGAGCGATGACCGCATCTTCAACCGACTGGATCCCCTTGATGACAATTGGCAACGAGGTCGTATCTCTTATCCATCTTAAATCGGCCCACGTCAACCCCGCATTCAATAACCCAGAAGCTGTCGTCTTTGCCACGCCGCTGGGTTCTGAAAGGGGTTCATCGCCAACAGTCAGCCGCTCATCACGCTCGCGTTTGCCGATGACGGGCGAATCAACCGTCACGAATATCGCCTTAGCGCCCAACGTCTCGGCCTTACGGATTGTAGCTTGTGCCTTCTCCCGGTTCCGATCGACGTACAGCTGGAAAAACAAAGGCTGTGCCTCGTTCGCTTTAGCGCCGAAGATGGACTCAACTGACGCGCTCGGCTTGGTGGGCATACAGTACAGGATCCCTTCCTTGCCCGCGGCTTTCGAGAGAATCGTCTCGGCGTCGGGGTGGGCGTACTTGGCCTGTCCCGTAGGCGAGATATAGAAAGGTAGGGAGGAAGGGAGGCCGAGAATATTGGTAGACGTGGAGATGGAGTCGACATTACGGAGGATGCGTGGACGGAGGGCAAGCTTGCGGAATATGCGGCGCGAGTCGTCAAGACTCCGTTCGTCTTCTGCGCCCGAGTAGTAGTACGCCCAGCCCATGGGCGAGAGGTACTTCTCAGCGACCTTTTCAAAATCGTCGGCGTTGATGATGGCGCCTAGATGCGGGAAGGCTGGCTTTTGCTTTTCAGGAGCGTTCGACAAGGCATCTTGCGGCTCTGGTAGTGTTGCTGGATCTACGGGACCCAGGCACCGGTCTGGCGATAGGGTCTCTGTAATGAGGTCTGGGTTGTGGATGGAATCGTAGTCTTCTGTCGCGTCTCGGCCGGCACATTTGATGATGAGTTTTGCGCCACCGGGGTGCTCATCAAGGAAGTCTGGTCTGGTGTGAGCTGGCATTATGCAACTCGTTACCAGAGCATGTACCTACCTGTGACGTCCCATACTTGGCCATGCACGACGACCCAGCACGAGTCTTTGGTATTGTTCTTCGCAACCTCCGTACCGCTCACAACCATGGTGACGATGACTGATGAGTATAGAGTGAGAGCAAGGAAGCAAGGCGTAAGAGAGATGGCATTGATGGCTTGGGCGAATTCGACGTTTTCCACATCCCTAGAGGAGCCGCCTTGGCAAGTCGGCACATACACATCGTGCAGACCAAGCTTGGTTCTCCCACCCCACGAAAGGCTCACGATGTCAAACATCTCCACTGGCGGCACATGGACCCCACGAATCCACGCCAGCCAGGCCTAGGTGGGGGTCATTTTGGTGTTGGTCCACGACCCCATGACGCCGCTGCCGGTCCGATTCGAGACAAAGCTGCTCCCCCACTCAAGCCATAGCTTGCTTTTCGGAGTGGGATCCCCGCGAAAAAGTGGTGCGGCTCCGCCATGTTACGAAATCCAATTCGCTAGAAGGTAACGATGTTTGCGGCGTCGAGTGTCCGGCGACGACGTTGGAGCTGGGGGAGGCTCGGGAGTTGTCCGGGGCCCCGGAATGGAGTCCCTGCTAGTATTCTACACTAGCTGACTCGCTTCGTGCGGGGAGACATGCAGGATGTCGGGACTCGGGAATGATGATCGGAAATAGGCGTTGGATTCAATGTTGGTTGTGGTTATAGTTGTACGGAGTGAGGATGCGGCGTAAGCAGCAACCTGGTCCAGACTCCACGGATGTGAGCGCCGGTGCAGTGCATGTTGGTTCCTGCTGCCTAGCCGTTCTGGGGCTAGTTCATCCAATCCCTCAGTCCCAAGTGTTGTAGACCATAGACGTCATCAATTTGCCGTTTCAAAGGTGTTGAAATGCGAGTTGATGTGTGACATTGTTGGTCAACATGGAGGAACTCTTCAGCAGCTGATCCTCTCCTTTGTTTCTGGTCAATGGTTTCCAAGGTACCTTACTTTGCAAACACGTAGCATTTGCTCTGGTTCAGCCGAGCCCCATAATACTTACCTATGAACGGGTGGCCCGAGCCGTTGGGAGCTTATCACCCAATCTAATCAGTCCGCGACGCGTCTGTTTCAATTAATCTCGGATTTACGCGATCGTGCCAGAGCTTCTCTGCCCCAAGACGTGGGATCTTTCCAACTGTCGCGCAAAAGAACGACTGACCGAAATGGCATTCAAACAAACACAGCGCACGTAGAACTCGGCTACAAGTTCCATCATACAAAAAGCATGCCTAATATCCTAACAACTAGTCCAATTCGGGCCCAAACGCAAGCAGAACGGCACCCTCTCCGCACCGTCGCCCAAAAGATCCCGATCCCAACCCGAGCCCGACGATATCAATTCGACGGGACATGGCGACGCTGGTAACGAGTTTGAAGCTAGCTCCAGCTCTCAAGCGGAGACCGATGCCGGGCCGTCTGATAACCCCCCACGAACGTCAGTAGCAGACAAAGTAAACGACCTGGTGAAAAAGTACACTTCGGGTATACCAAGGGAACTTTCCGGCGCCACAAGGTACTACGTGGTATGGAATGGAATGGAAACCGGCATATTCGGAAGTTGAGAAAAATGTCAGCCGTTGGTTGACGGATATTCAGGGGCAGGGTGTAAGTCGCATCTCGAACATTGCAAAAAGCAAGTCCCGGGCTGACTGCATGAACGCAGATAAGAGAGCCAAGGATTACAATGACGCCGTGAGACACCATTCTGCTTTGGGTTATAAAGTTGAAGAGTATCACTGATGTGTTTTGTCATAGGTGGATCTCCTGCGTAATAAGTTGACAGAAAAGCTCGAGGCAGAAGAGAAAAGGCATGTGTCTCAGCAGCAACCCCAAAGACACACCGCAGCCACGACCTACGCCGCAAAACACACATCGGAATGTACCGCAACATGTGCTAACATGTTCAATAGTGCGGAGGTTAACGAGCCTGTTCCAGACCCTCTGGAGCCTCCTCTTTGCAATGAACAGCAAGAAGCAATGAACCTCGCCATGGCAGGGCACAACTTGTTCATTACTGGGTACGTTGCTTATTGTGTTGACGCGGACCATTTGGTCAACCCTCCGCTCTGTGAACATTGTAACTCTGCGGCATCGTTTGCTGACATGCCGACAGATCCGGTGGGTGCGGTAAATCGGTCCTCGTCAAAGCCCTTCAGACAAATTTCGAGGCCAAGCACAAAGACGTCCATCTAATTGCACCTACTGGTCTTGCTGCTCTCAACATTAATGGCAGGACAGCTTTCAATTACGCTGGTTGGGTGCCTGACGATAAGAAGAAGTCATTCGATGCCATCGTTGAAAAATCAAAAGGCGAAATCTTCGACCGATTCCGCAGCACCGACGTCCTCATCATTGACGAAATTAGTATGGTTGACAATCGATTTTTTCAACGACTAAGTGACATCATGAGACATGTTCGAGGGATGCCACGGAAACCTAGAAAAAAGAGTCAGTCGAAAAAAGACAATAGTCGGATGGGTTGACTTCGGCCCGTTCGGTGGCGTCCAGATCATCGTTGTTGGCGACTTTTGTCAGTTACCACCTGTCAAGCCATTTGAGCACTGCCTCCATAATGGATGTCAGCAAGAGACAAAGGAGGAGAGGACCGATACGGCGACTTCACACGCTTGCCCCCTCCCAGGGCATCCGAAAATTCGGGACAACGAAAAATGGGCCTTCAAATCTACGGCGTGGGAAGAATGCAAATTCAAGTATGTGCATCTGAGGAAGATTCATCGCCAGAAGGATGAAGAGTTTGTCAGTATTCTTCAAAAGTGCCGCTTAGGCAAGGCACTTGATGCAAGCGACATTAGTACGCTTCTCCATCACCCCACGGAAGTCGAGAACGGAGCTCGATTATACAGCAAGCGAGAAGAGGTCGATGAGCTCAATGACTTATCATTTAAAATGCTTCCCGGCAGTCCAAGAAAGTACAAGTGCCTCGATGTGTACAAGCCCTCAGAATCTGATGTTGGCGACGTGAGTGTACTCTTCCCTTTGGATCATTCGATATTCGTGCACATGAGGTCTCGCTCAAGAGGATTGGGATATACTAACTTGCGTTTCGATGCAGTTAGAATCAGATCATGCAATGCCATCAGACGTCTCTAGATTACGAAAAGACCACCGTTATGCCAGCGACCTGGACCTAAAGCGGAACATGCCTGTCATTCTGCTCGCAAATGTCGGTTGTCCCCGCCTGGCCTGGTATCGAAACGAGTACCGTGTTTGCTGACATCGGGAAATTGCAGATAGACCTGAAGGCGAAGCTGGTCAACGGCAGTCAAGGCGTAATAGATGACTTCGTGCCGTGTGACAGGCTCGAGCCACCTACTGAGCCACAGAAACACAACTACGAAAAGGACCCTGAGGGCTATCGCCGTGCCATGGAAAGATACCGTCACATAAGCCATTTCATAGATACTAACATAGCCGACCTGTGTGAGTAACACAATGCCTACTTGATGAAAGGAACACATTTGGAGTTTGCGAGCTTTTTCTAATGATTCTTAACATATAGGGCCCTTGGTAAAATTCAGCAACGGCACAAAACGCGTCATTGGCCCAGATTGCACTGTCAATGAGACAGGTGAAAAGGGCCCCGAATTTTACGCCCTGTTCTCGAGGACGCAGATACCTCTCGCGCCGGGTTGGGCCATGACCATCCACAAGAGTCAGGGCATGTCACTAGATCGCTTGATCGTGAACCTCGGCTCCGTCTTCGAAAAGGGCCAGGCCTATGTCGCGCTGAGTCGCGCTAGGTCTCTGAAGGGACGAGAGATAGAAGGGGCCACTAGAGACGAGCTCCGGGATAGTCTCCGTGTTGACCTTGAGGTGAAGAAGTTTCTGGAAAGGCTTGAAGGCACAGGCAAGGGAAAGAACCCGGAGCCGCGGAATACAGGTACATTGAACCGGCCGGCGTTTTACCCGCTTCCAGATCGACTACTTCTGCTGTTATCTCCTTGGGTCTACATTGCTATATTACTATTAGTGCAACAGTCGATGGGGGCAGGTCAGAGTGAAAGCACTATGCCGTCGACATTGTCAGATTATGGCAGAGAAAGCTTTCTAAGAACATTCCCATTGAGCGATGAAATGCGCCATGAGAGAAACTTAAGTACAGTTCGCCCCTAGATCTTTGAAGGAAAGTCCAAACCTCTCGTCTTCAACTTCTGCTCGAATTCGTCCTGCTTGTCAAGAATATGAGTTCCAGCGGCCAGGCCCTTCATGCCCTCAGCATCGTACAAGCTTTCCAAAGGTACATCCCGAACGGTGACTTTGTGATCTTCGTTCGTTCCTCCGCAGAACACCTCGATAATGTTCCCGTCGCCATACTTGGGGTCGCAGATGGCAGATATGGCCACATTGACTACTTCGTCAACGCTGAGCATCAAGTCGTCGGCATGTACGCGCTCTCGGCTGTAGGAAGCGTGGAAAATAGGGGTCTGCACCAGGCTATCAGCACTCATTTTATGTGAACGTGACGGACTTGACGCAGGTTGAAACATACGTCGACAACTCCCGGACAGATTGCGGCGTTCCTGATGCCGGCAATCTTGTTCAAAGAGCCAAGAGACTTGCACATGCTGACAACGGCAGCCTTGCTCGAGTAGTAGAACGGCGTAATGAGGCCATGAACGTAGCCCGCCATACTAGCGACCCAGAGGATGTTGCCTGACAGATGCCGGTTTTCGGGACGCAACCAGTATTCAATGGCGATCTGGGCAAGTCTAACGGGGGCAATGGTGTTAATAGCGTAGGCCTGATACATGCCGACCTTGGCATCGGCTTGGTCTCGAGACAGAGGCGAGATTCCAGGAGGGTTCCAAAAGTCGCTCAACGGGGGATCATAGATTCCGGCCCCATTGATGAGCAGGTTAACTCTTTCAAATGTCTCAAGTGCCGCATCCCACAGTTTGTTGATCTGTGACCAGTCGGCGAGATCTGTCTGATGGAAGATAGCCGACGCATTGCCAGGCTTGGGTGGGGGATGAGGATATTTCTTCAGTGTATCTTCGGCCTCGGGACGTAGACTTAGATCCGCCATGACGACTGAACAACCTGACTCGAGAAGCGCTCTGGTTAGCGCATGGTTGATGCCTGAACTCGGTTAGTATTGGTAACTTCGAAAATGGAGTAAAGGTGCCAACCTGATCCAGCACCGGTCACGAGCGCGACTTTGCCATTCACTTCCCACGCGGCCATTTGAGATATATTCTCCTGGTATATGTCAATGTTCTTTTCAAGAAGCGATGCTTGAAGCGTTGGAATGCAAGGAGAGGGGAGAAGACGAGGTGGAAGCCATCTTTCTGTGTTTGTGCACTCGTGATCTGGTTTAAACGTCACGTCACTTTGTTTCACCCGGACTATGACCCGTCCGTTTACCGAGTTGATGCCGATGCATGTCTATCCGATTCAGTCGACCGCTCTGAAATGCGTTCACTTGGCGGGGTTGGGCCGAAAAGTTGGTCCGACATTGGTCCGGTGTATGCCAAGTGAGAGGCACACCGGTTGGAGTCGCTTCAGCAAATGAACAGTCGATAAGGGTAACGTCAGTGCATTATCACCACCTCAAATCAGCTGGTGTCATGTTATGTATTATCTACGCCCGGTGGGATGTGTTCAATCATTTATGAGAACTCTAGAAGTATGTGCTAAATGGCCCCTGGTGTTGTTCAGGAGCTGAGGAGCCCACGCTTGATGCCTCCACAAGGATATCTATTTCCGACGAACGTAACTACCATGATACACACACCGCATTAAGGGACTCTAGAGCGATAGAATTCGCAGAACCACATCCTTCGTGACGGCATGGAAGTTCTCCTTGCTCAGATCAAAACGGCTAAGGTCCTCAGTCTTGCTGTTGAAATCACCTCCTTCACCCTCTTTGTAATGTAAGGGGAAGAACTTCGCGAGTACCACAGCATGTGCGTCATCCCCACTCATCGCATTGGCCCGCTCAATAACCTCGTCCACGGACTCCTCGCGAATATCCCAATCGCTCTCACATGTTCCAGTCGCCAGCATAACGCTGTTCAGCACCTCTCTCTGAGTGACGTGGAAGGAAGTAGTGTAGAAGCATTTGTTGCGATAGCGTGCAAGTTCTTCGTCTGGCATAGCCACAACCGCCGCGGTTACCGCTCCAGCTCGGGCCAGCGTAGTGTAGTTCATCTTCGTATTCCCTCCATTCCAAAGCGTTGCCTTGAGTGTTTTGGCGTTGACACCAAGGACATCACCCACAGGCAGGCAGAAATCGTACCAAGGGTTGGTAATGACACCGATCCAAGATCCAACTCCCAGCTTTTCGATGAGTTCTCGGTATTTGCCTTTGTCCGCAATCTCGGGCAGCTCTTCGATTAACTTTCCTTCTGGGTCACTACCAAACTCAGTCGGAAGGATGTACGGGACGTTGGCCTTTGCGGCTGCGCGAATAAGGACGTCACTGAGGCCCACGGCTGGGATGCCAAGTTGCAAGATCAAGACCTCTTGGCCTTTCAAGACAGAAGTGAGAGCAGCCTCGTCGTCAAAGGCAACTCTGTTGACGGTGATTTTGTCAGGGAATTGAGAGGTGGATTCGTTCCGAACAATGATGGTGATGTCGTGGATGCCATGAGAGAGCAGTGCCGTCAGGGTATGTTGCCCAAGGTTACCACTGGCGCCAACTAAGGCAATCTTACGGCCTTGTCGCACAGGTGACATGGTTCAATGTTGATGGAATATAGTTTGAGGAGGATGAGGGTAGTGTGAATATTGACCAAGGGCTGAGAACGGTTGGGCTTCAATGTCTTGAGCTGAAAGCATGCATGTGCTGAGCGGAGGAACACTCACTTAAATACTTCTTCGACATACTCAATTAAGAAACCAGAAGGAGTAAGACATCACGTTATCGCCTTTAAAAACTCGTAAGCTAAGCACCGCTCACATGTGATCTTTCAAAACAGCGACGAAAATTACATATATTCAGTGTCATTATTCTCAACTCTATCCGTACTAGGATTCTCAAAACCGAATGAACCAATCAGAGGGTTCATGAGGTAGCTAGTACAGTGACGACTATGATTAGAAATCGTAAGTTACTTAGTGCGAGGTTTGATTGGCTCGTTCGGCTTTTGTTCAAATCCTACATGACTTACCGCCCCAGGACCCATGGTGGACAAAGGGGCGTTCCGAACTTTCAGCTACATCATCACATCAAGTGGAACAGTCTAGAGCGCAAGTTATTACACCTGGGCCAACAAAACCAGAGCTCTTATGCCTTGATATTGCCGGAATTAATGAGAGAACCAGTCTTTGGTCGCCTAATGTGATCAGCCCATGGCACGAAAAGGTTCCAAGAAGACCAAGACCGGGTGCTTGACTTGCAAGTATGCATAGATTGAAATACCTCGCGGAGACCTCGGGCGAATCCTTTTGTACTAATATTCGTAGGATTCGCAAGATAAAGTGCGACGAAGCCAAGCCTTCTTGCCGACGCTGCAATGACACCGGCCGAAAGTGCGACGGGTACTTGGCTCAGGCATCTGTCGAGTTCAAGATTCATGCAGCCCTACGACATCATGGATCAGACTCCGCAAGTGAGCGAAGGTCCCTACAATATTTCTATGAATACGCTGCGCCCCGTCTATCTGGCCCTAGAAAGCCTGCCTTCTGGACGTACTTTGTCATGCAGCTCAGCCAATCTGAGCCAATAGTGAATCATTCACTGCTGGCAATCAGTCACCTATACGAAGCTCGCGAGATGCGGACAGTGCCATCCACTGAATCTTTGCTTGCATTACAGTATTATAATGCGGCAATCAAAGGTGTGAAGGCTGTGCAAGACCAGTCTTTAGTCCTGGTTGTATCCGTCTTGTTTACCTGTATCGAGCTGCTGCAGTCAAACAACGAGACCGCAATTCGGCATTGCACACACGGCAACCAAATCTTAGAGACTTATGGCAGCGAAAAACCCTGGATACGAGATCATCTCGTACCAGTCTTTCGGCGATTGAGCGTCCTTCCCCTGCTCCTTGGAAGGCCACCTGCGGATTCATCCCTTGCACATGTCCTAAGATATGCGGTACCGACGAGATTTGATAACGTAGAGGATGCGCACTCGATGATCGACGAAATTTGCAGACGATTAATGATCTCACAACATTGGAAACGTAAAGGAACTCGTTTCGATCAGGTGAAGGAGCGGAATTACATCGGTTCCCTATTGCAAAAATGCAGAGAATTGATGGACGGTCTCGACATTGACTCAACATCTCAGCCAAACTGTGCTAGCGAAGGCCCGCAAGCACTGATGCGTATGCGCTTCCACACATGTCAAGTTTGCTTCGATATGCTGTTCCCAGTGGATCATGGGGGCAACGATGAAAGACACATACACGGCTTCCGCGAGATGATCGCACTGGCTTCTGACTTTAGTAATTTGCGGACTATGCGGCTACCACGATTCGTTTTCGAACTTGCATTCTCACCTGTGCTGTTCTTCGTTGTCACAGAGTGCAAGTGCTTAGAAGTACGGCTTTCAGCTCTCCGTCTTATAAGAACACTAGGAGCAGAGAGAGAGGGCCTTTTCGAAAGCCATAACTTGTACGCTCTGGGTCGCCAAAAAGTCCAAACAGAACATGGTGTGATTTTGGATGACTTCGACTGCCCTCAAGAGTTGGATTTGAATTCGGATATAGAGTTTTGAGCCGTCAAATAGTAATAAGATGCCTACGAAGAACTCTCATCATGATGGGCTCGAATGATCAACCATCTACACCTTTCCCCTACAGCTTGAGTCCTTTCCAGTGGCTCCAGCCTTGATACAGCGTTCTCTCATCCCGCAATTGCTCTGTCCAATATTTTTGAAGAGTGTCTCGCTATAGTAGTAGCACTCGTAGTGACCAAGGTCCGAGTTGTATTCGTTTTATATCCAGCCTTTGTGCAAACTGTCGAGGTGGCACTGTCATTCGGGGTACCATCTGAGTCGTAGCAGTGGCAGTACTTATAGCCAGAGCAAGCTTCAGCGGGAATCGAGATCGAAAGAACGGTGACCAGTGTTGCGAGTTTCATCTCCTGGAGATGTTGTCAGCACAGCTTACCTAGGCTTGTTGTAGTTGTCCAACTTACGGATGGCTTATCTATGATCAAGTTGTAGAAAGTTGCGTGATACTCTTTTGCCAGGAAGGTTGTAAAAAGTGCAGAGCGTATCGTCGAAACTCGTGGGTCTTCTCTCTCTTAATTCAAACGGGTATTGTAGGATTTGCTACTCAAAGCGATTGGTTCATCGGAAGTGCCGGCAACTGTTTATTTCTCTAAACTGGTTTGAGAAACTCTGAACCAGCGGACAGAAATGAACAACACAGATATTGCAAGTTAATCTACACAGATTTGCGTCCTAGCCTATCCGAGTTCGTTATTCTGGATTACTCGCGATATGGGAAATTATTGTATCAACTTTGATAAGCTCCAGGCTGAACTCGTATGTAATCCGAAATTCTGGTGAGATTTGATGGGTCTTTCGGGCTTACTACCGGGAGTAGTGGGCTAAACTTGTATCCAACGCATGATAACGGGCATGTCGGCATGATCTTGTGTTAATCTATATAGTATCAACTGCGAAAGCTGTCTTGATTCAATGGCCTGACAATACCACGGTTTGTCCTAACCTACCTTATGCTGGATTTTCGATGTTTGCCAGAAAGTACTGTTGAAACAGGAAAGATTCAATAGCACAGGAAGTCATAGATACTGCTAGGCCATAAAAATGGCAATGTTCCAAACTGCATATGACTTCACTGATGAAACGATTTCTCATCACCTGACTTTAAAGTTTAGTTAGAGGACGCAGCAGCGGAACAAAGCCAACCGTTCAGTATTGCTGGTACAGGGTGATTACTTATACGAATATGCGTGATCCATCGCTTTGGGGCTGAGTTGTCAACTATCTAAGCATGAACTCATCCATCTTTCGTTTCCTGTGGAATATCGCCAAGAGTTTACAATGGTTCAAGTCGGTAAGAGCAGCATCCATTCTCGGCGTCAATACACAGCTAGTTAGTCCTGGTCAAC